TTTTTTTTTTTTTTTTTTTTTTTTTTTTTTGAGGCTATTGAAAATGGGGTAGTTTTCCTCATTTCCCTTCTGAGGATTTGTCATTGATATACAAAAATGCCTTTGATTTATGGATGTTGATTTTATATCCTACTACTTTGCTGAATTCATTTACTAGTTCTAGAAGTTTTCTGGTGGAACTTTTAGGGACCTAGCTTCCTTAATAAGACTCCTGTGGTACAAGAATTAAAATCAAGAATCAATAAATGGGATGGACTCAAACTAAAAAGTTTCTTATCAGCAAAAGAAACAGTCTGGGAGGTGAATAGAGAGCCTGCATCTTGGGAGCAAATATTTACCCCTCACACATCAGAGTGCTATCTCTAGGGTATATAAAGAAGTCAAAAATCTAAACACCAAAAATACAAATAACCTAATCAATAAATGGGCCAAGGTTCTGAAGAGACACTTCTCAGAAGATGATGTACAATCAATCAACAAATGCATGAAAAAATGTTCATCATCACTAGCAATTAGAGAAATGCAAATTAAAACCATTCCAGGATTTCATCTCACTCTAGTCAGAATGGCAGCTATTATGCATACACAAAACAATAAGTGTTGGTGAGGATATGGGGAAAAAGGTACACTCATACACTGCTGGTGGGACTGCAAATTGGTGCAGCCAATATGGAAAGCAGTATGGAGATTTCTTAGAAAATTGGGAATGGAACCACCATTTGACCCAGCTATCTCTCTCCTGGGTCTATACCCAAAGGACTTAAAAACAGCATACTACAGGGACACAGCCACATCAGTGTTTATAGCAGCACAATTCACAATAGCTAAACTGTGGAGCCAAAAACCTGGATGCCCTTCAGTGGATGAATGGATAAAAAAAAATTGCCATATATACACAATGGAATTTTACTCAGCAATAAATGAGAATAAAATCATGAATGTGCAGGTAAATGGATGGCATTGGAGAAGATAATAACACTAAAACAAACAAACAACAAACTAAGTGAAGTTAGCCAATCCCAAAAAAACAATGCCGAATGTTTTCTCTGATATAAGGAGGCTGACTCATAGTGGGGTAGGGAGGGGGAGCATAGGAGGAATAGATGAATTCCAGATAGGGCAGAGGGGTGGGAGGGAAAGAGAGGAGGCAGGGGATTAGCAAGGATGGTGGAATGTGATAGACATCATTAGCCTAAGCACATGTATGAAGACACGAATTGGGTGTCAATATACTTTATATACAAACAGAGATATGAAAAATTGTGGTATATATGTGTAATAAGAATTGTAATGCATTCTGCTGTCATTTTTTCAACCAATAAAAAAGATTCTAAATGGAATAAGTTACACTTCATGTATTTATAATGTCAAAATTCACTATTATGTATATCTAAAAAGAACAGATAAAAAAGAATATATTTATATCGATATACATATATATGTACTTTTATCCAATTAAAAAAAAAACAGAGTCATTTTGAAGAGATTAGACGAAGTATCAGCTTCAAAATCAGATAATCAGAGTCAGATATCTGGTTGAATCCCAGCTCTTAAAATTACCAGTTTTGTGACCATGAGTAAATTACTTAAATTCTTTAGTTGTCCATATTTTTCATCATAAGTGTGTGATCAATTATTTGCAGAGCCATTGGGAGTATGAGAGAGAAGAAATCAAGTACAGGCAAGATCCAAAGAATGGTTTGACGACTTGCTTCTATTGTTTCTGAATTTCTGATTCTCTCTTTCCACCTCTAGGTCTTCACTTTCTTTCTTCTCGGTGGTGGTGCCCTGCTGCTGTAACTCTGGGGATCATTTGCATGGGATTATTGGTGACCATCATAATGCTGGGGATGCAGTGTAAGTACTGAAATAGGTGGTATGAGTCTACATTTATGAATTTATTTCCTAACAATTACAAAACAGCTTTGATTTAGATTTGTTTTAGAAAAAATGTTTTTAAAGTGAGTGGGAAGATGAATGGGTATATTGTGTTAATCCCTTAAATGGATAAAGACATGAAATAAAGAATACACATGGTAAAATATTTTCATAACTTCATCGAGAAAGTCTATATAAATCCAAGAATGATGGAGAGTAAAATTACTTGACGTAACTAATCCACAAACTCACTTGAACAAACGCAAGATGAATTTCATTAACTCTTGTTAAGATTTGATGAAGATGATTAAATGTCCTTAAAAATCAGAAATAGTCTAAGTAAAGCATTTTAAACTAAATGTACTTTAAATTTATAACATGGTCATTTAGGAAGAGAATGTACTAATAGGAAAAGCAGAAGTGAAAATAAGAACAAGAATATCTAAGAAAATTATACCCATCCATCTAATTTGCACATTTAGATTGTAGATCTGAACTATTTCAAGTGGCTGGGATCCAATGTATTAAGGTTTTTGAAGTGCTATTTGCTTCTGAGTTGTTCAAATTCATAAGATATTCTTTTTTTCTTTTTGAACCCAGGGGTGCTATATCACTGAACTATATCCCCAGACCTTTTTAATTTTTGAGACAGGGTGTTGCTAAGTAGATGAGGCTGGCCTCAAACTTGCAATCCTCTGCCTCAGCTTCCTCAGAAGCTGGGATTACTGGCCTGCATCACTGTGCCCGGCTTTATTTTCAATCTATCAACACTAAAGGCCTTTTCCTAATGGTTGGGAGAAGTGTCCTAGACTAGGCAGCACTGATTGGCAGAAATCTTCTTTGAAGCTTTATTGCTTTCCAACAGATTCAAGTCTGGTTTCAAGTCAAGGGATCCCCTTGAGATTGCAGCATCAAGCTTCTAGAACTGAGATCTTTTACCCATAACATTCATTGCTGCTTGATTTCACAACCTTAGTTTCAACTCCACCCTTCCTAAAATGCACTATGGCAAAAATAAAAACAAAAAATGTTTTGAGACTCTAGTGACACAGTAACTTAAAATAATTTTGGGGGTGGCTATTTCAAAATAGGGCAAGTGTTCTGGTTCTTAAATAAAATTAGGAAGTCTGGAAAGTTAGACAAAATGGGAGGGGCAGAGGAGATTTAACGCAAGAATTAAGACACAAGTAGAATAAACCACTAATGACAATTCCTATTAATAGTCACTGAGTATGGCGAGTGTCTTAGATTGTCTGCATTTTATTTTTTTCACTGTGGTGTTACTTATTAATTTTAATTTGTGCACAACTCTAATAAAAAATACTGGTAATTTTTTTATCCTAAGTATCAGAAAAGTTCCCCATATTAAAAAGACACTGCATAATTTCTGATGAAATCTGGATCATCTTCCAGTAGACTTTGAAGTGCTATTTGCTTCTCAGTTATTCAAGTTCATGAAATGTTATTGTGGATACTTACCTGTTGTCAAAATTGATTATTTGATTTTGTGAAAATTCAGTGGAACTATATTGGGGATTGGAAATGGAACCCTGATTCAGTTCTACTGTAGTATTTCAGGTGTCTGATCTCCTCAAACAACACCAAGCCAACCTTACACACCAGGAAATGATACTGGAGGGACAGATTTTAGCTCAGCAGCAGGCAAAAAATGCTTCTCAGAAGTCACAGGAGGAACTCAAGGAAATGATAGAAACCCTTGCCTTGAAGCTGGATGAAAAATCCAGAAAGCAGATGGAGCTTCACCAGCAAAATTTGGATCTCCAAGAAGCTCTGAAGAGAGTGGAAAACTTTTCAGGTATTGTGGGAGGAAAGAGGGGGAGTAGCAGGTTTTGTGTTCAATCTTTATTTTTTATAAGTATTTCTAGGCACAGAATTGTCATACTGACATTTTCATTCATGATTCATTCATTATTCATTCATAATGGTCTGCATCTGGAAGTTCTCTATTTTTGTCATCTCCACCCTACCCCATGTCAAATCCTAGAGACATCTGATTTAATGAAGCCCACTATTTGGTGGATTTAAGATTTTCTTCCTTAAAAAAAAGAGCTTCTTATTTCTTTAAAAACTCTTGTTTTTTTTTTTTTTATTTCTCTGGAAGAACCCCCTCTCATCCTCACTGCTTGCCATAGGTACTTACTTCTTTGCATTCTACTGTATCTTAATCATCAGATTTCTTTTTCTTTTTTTTTTTATTGTGTTTCCTACTTCCTAAGGTGCAAAATGATTTTTCATATGAAAAATTATAGCCAAAGAGAGTGAGTAATTGCTTTTAAGTTTTTACTTGCAAAAACAAAGAAGAAAGTTGACAACCTTTCCTTTTCATTTGAAATGTTACCGGTGGATGATATATAATATATATATATATCATTATATAATTCAATTAACTTTTATTTAGTAAGTTAGTGAAATTATTATTAATTGGCAAATGTTTTAGCTGCATGTTAAAAATTATCAATAAAATTTTAAATATAAACAGATGAACTTCAAAATACAAATACTTAACTGAGTAGATCTTAATGTTTATTCAATTACTCAAGTAAAACAAACACCCTGGCACTCTCTAATGATTATGTTAATCTTAGAAATGATTAACTAGGTTTTCATTGATGAGAGAAAACCCTGAAACACTGCAGGGGTAACAATTTGGAGTCTCACTGTAAATGATAAAATAGGAATGTACATCTGGAGAGTACACACAGCAGCAACTGAACACAGCTTTAGGTTGTATACTTATGAGAACTCTTTCAAAAATGTATATAAAATCAGTTCCTTCATTTAGCATTCTTCTTTGTAACTTTTAGTATTCAGTACAATTTGAATTGTTTAGGGCATGACTGGGATTTTCAATTAATCAGATTATTTTTCTCTTTTAGAAAAAACTTGAGTGATCTCCTTACAGATTCAGCAGGATAAAAATTAAAAGTTACTTTTACTTAATGACTTTAGAAGTCATCAAAGAATCAATCTATGCCCCAATACCTTCTCTCATTCTAGTTGCACTGTTGTATTATTAAAGAATCAGCTTCCAAAGGCTGCTTCTTCTCAAAGTGAGTGTTGTATGGAGCAAGGGCTGAGCCAATGATCTTAAGGCTCCTTTGAGCTGGTAACCAATCATTCCATGGTTTCCTGTGATGTGGGCTTGATCTGTGAATGCTACATAATAAGCCAAGATAAGACTGGGGGTTAGCTCAGTGATAGAGTGCTTGCCTAGCATGCGTGAGGCCCTGGGTTGAATCCCTAGCACCAAAAGTAAATAAAAAAGTAAACAGATAAGAAAGAAAGAGAGAGAGAGAGAGAGAGAGAGAGAGAGAGAGAGAGAGAGAGAGAGAAAGAAAGAAAAAACATCTGGTCTTGAGATATTGTCCATTTTTCTGAGGAAAATTTTCATGTACTGGAAAAGTTTATTAAACAGTTTATTTTAGTTCTGAATTAAGTGCATGGTTTACTATGCATTGCTTTACTATACATTCACACTGAGTGAAACATGAGTGAGGATTGAGAAATGAGGGAAGCCCTAGTCAGCATTGTTTACCGCGATATTTAGAAAGGATCTGAGATGGCTAGCAAATGTTTACTGAGAACCATCTAGGTGTACCTGCCCAGAACACTAAATCACAGATCTGATCATTTTAATTCAAAAACAATATATTATTAAAAAAATTATAGGCATGTACTCTGTTATCTAGTTCATCTTGAATGAGCTTTGGTAGTTTGTAGCTGCCAAATGTCTTCTTTGATATAAGGAGAGTAACTAAGAACAGAGTAGGGACGAAGAGCAGGAGAAGAAGATTAACATTAAATAGGGATGAGAGGTGGGAGGGAAAGGGAGAGAGAAGGGAAATTGCATGGAAATGGAAGGAGACCCTCAGGGTTATACAAAAGTACATACAAGAGGAAGTGAGGGGAAAAGGAAAAATAATACAAGGGGGAGAAATGAATGACAGTAGAGGGGGTAGAGAGAGAAGAGGGGAGGGGAGGGGAGGGGTGGGGGGATAGTAGAGGATAAGAAAGGCAGCAGAACACAACAGACACTAGTATGGCAATATGTAAATCAATGGATGTGTAACTGATGTGATTCTGCAATCTGTATATGGGGTAAAAATGGGAGTTCATAACCCACTTGAATCAAAGTGTGAAATATGATATATCAAGAAATTTGTAATGTTTTGAACAACCAACAATAAAAAAATTAAAAAAAAAGAACAGGAGACATAATTACAGATACTACAAATATTAAAAGACAATGAGGGGGGCTGCCTAGCATTCACAAGGCCCTGGAGTCAATCCCCAGCACCACAAAAAAAAAAAAAAAAGACAATGAAACATTTTGAAATTTTATACCAATAAAATTAGCAATACAGATGAAATTTCTTGAAAGCTACAAACTACCAGATTTCTTTTCCTAAAGAGTCTTCTTGTCCTTAAAATTCTTTGCCCGTACTTCTGCATTAGACTTTATTCTGTGACACTCTGTGAATGTTCACTTCATCAATCTAAATAGAATCAATGGAGGTAGACTTGCATGCAAGTGTTAGGTAGATACTTCACATTAGACAAAAATATGAGGGGTCTAAAAAGTCCCTTTATATAAAAAGAATTGAATTGATTTCAGCTTTTCAGGACTCACAATCTAGAAGAGAGAAATAGTAGCATTTACAAGATTATTTTTAACTTTGATATTATTACAAAAGCTATCTGCATTATTTAGTCTTTCTGTGGTGTGTAATCCAAACAAGTGTATGATTTTAGTCTTAGGGAATGTTTGAAAGTGTGACATGGAGTCACTTTCAGACATACATTGCTTTCTGTGAAGCGCCTGAGTGCCTTGGTCTTAGGATTAGTAGCTAAGTCCACTAATACACAGATTTCTCTCATTTTTTTCTTGTACAGCTCATATAAGTTCAAATATGTAACTTCTTAGAATAAATATGACATAATAATTGTTCACAGATATCTATTCCTTCATTTTATACAAAGTGAGACCAAGATAAAGTTAAATGATAAAAATGATAAGTGGTTTTGTGTAAAGTTTTGCAGTTTATAAATCCCTTCCCTGTTTACAGAGTAATTTAAATTTCCAAAATAAGCAGAGATTTCTAGATAGGATGATATTTAGCAAGTGTCATACATATATTTAATCTTTTTTAGGGAGGGAGCTTTCAAAGAAATAAATGAACACAGAGCTCAAAGAAAGCTTGGAGGAGGCTTTTATATCAAGGGCAGGAATATTTACATAATCAGACATAGCTATATACCAACCAACAGTTTATTTCATAGGCAAGACTGTGAAACATTTCTGTTTTTATCAGTTGAAAATTGTATGGGATTAAATATATGTCAGAACCATTCAGAACCACCTTTCAGGGATGTCAAGCATGGACAACTAATTAAACTCAGTAAATGGTATGTTTGGTGTGGGCAGATACACCAGGTAATGTGTTACACTTCTCGACAGTGTCAGATAAAGGCCACTTAGTAGATATACTAAATAAAGTTTTTCTTTCATCAATTAGCTTTGAGAAGATCATAAATAAATAAATATTAAAATACCATATGGAAAAATATGCAAGTTTTGTCTGTCCTATAAACAAGGGTGTTGTCTTAATGCATATATGAAGAGGGAGAGTGATTATTTATGTGTTTGCTTGAAGTCATTAAGCTAGTGAGATGCAGGGGCTTCACAGTAATGGATTTTACACTTAGCACCAGCAATAGCAGTGGTTCTCAGACCTTAGTAAGCAAAGTGCTTGTTAAAAATGGCAGATTCCACATTGACTCCAAGATTCTGCATCAGAAAGTCTTGTGAGTATCACTGAGAAATGTGTCCTGAAAGAGTTCAAACTTAGAAATTTGAGAGGTAGTGTGTCACAGTGATTAAAAACATAGACTCTAGAGTTAGACTGACTAGGTTCAAATTCCTCTTTTCTCTATTTGAGAAATGAAGAATAATAACGGAGCCTACCTCAATGAGTTGTTATGAGGACTAAATGAGTTCATATATGTGAAGTACTTCTAGTGGTTTCTTGCACATGGTAAATAAGATTTGTGTCTTTTTCAAGTTTATATCTCATAATAATATATGGTAATTATGTACATTTTATATAGTATTATAATGTTAAGTAATATTATATGTATATTTCATGCATACACAAGGAAAAAAGTTGGTTTCAATTCTATATTTTAAGTGTTTTCCTTATTTTGTCAAAGTTTGTAAACTTGCCTAAGCTTTCGACCACAAAACTGATATTTTTGACACTTATATAATATGAAAGGCACGTTAAGAGGCTAAGATGGTTGCATTTGTTGCTTTCAATTTGACCCTTTGCATGTCCTTCTCAATCACTATCCTATTTTATTGCTCAGGGTCCTCCTGTTTTAGCCTCTTTGATAAAACCTATTCTTAAATTATCTTGGTTTATGGCACAATAAAAACTGAATTAAAATGTAACTATTTTGAAAGATTTTATTTTTTTTCTACACTTTGGTAGCAGTCTAGATCAAAGGGCTCTGTCTTCCTTAAAATGTCATAAACTTAGGCAGAAGACAACACTAAGGATGAGAATGACACTAGTGATAAGATGGCCCGGGGGGTGGTTGAAAACATTCATATTCTCACTGACCTTGGCACATTTTGCATATTGCTAACTTCCTGAGTTGTGTTTGCTAGTCTCTCTGGGAATTTTGCTGCTGAGAACCTTCTTAATATTTGAGATTTTACTGAGGTTGAGGTCTTTATTTTGCATCAATATATTATTCTCCCTAAAACAACTTTGTCCCAAAGAAGTATAGTGTGTGACACTATGTAACACTAAACTTTCTAGCAATCATATGTATAAAAAGAAGCAGATTAGTTCTAGTAGCATATTTAGATTTATCCAAAATATCTGAAATATTTATTCAATATTAGTATAAAAATTACTAATAGGATATTGTCCATTGTTTCATATAAAGTTTTCAAAATTGGGTATGCATTTTATCTTTATAGCACATCTTAATGCAGACTAGCCACATATGGTCATTGTCTCAGTCAGCACATGTCTAAAAGTAGAAGGCACAGTATTTAGGCCTAATCCATTATTCAAAGATGTGTAGTTTTAAAATTCATAAGCCTAACTTCTTAATAACAGAGTGGCTATTAAATATCCATTTTCCAACTCTCACTTCCATTATTCCATACATAACTTTAAAAAGTAGATTGGGTTCTAAAATCACATTGCAGCTTATCCTATTTTTTAACAGAGGAAGTGAAAATGCTAAATGAGAAATAAATTTAGTTATTAAAACAAATGGAGAAATAAAGACCATAAGGTTATTTAGGTATTTGTAGAGTACAGATATATTTTAATGAAGAAGAAATGGTATGCTTGTGAGGGGACTAAGGCTATAATTAGTCACATAATTGCAGAAATATTTGTATTCAAACATAACTCACTGATTAAGTATACAACACTTCCCAGGTCCTTGTCCCCAAGATTGGATCTGGCATGAAGAAAGCTGTTACCTATTTCCCTCTGGACTATTTAATTGGGAACAGAGTCAAGAGAACTGCTTGTCTTTGGATGCCCAATTGCTGAAAATTAATAACACTGATGATCTGGTGAGTGTTTATGAATAATTATGGGACTGGAGCATTGATAGCAACACAAATCTAGTTTAGGACCTGGGGGGAGAACCACTTGTTGGAGAGCCAAAATAGCTGTTTTGTAACATCAATTCAATCAAATCAGAAACATTACTCTCCACAGAATTTCATCCAGCAAGCAATCTCCCATTCCAGTTTCCCATTCTGGATGGGATTGTCACTGAGGAAACCCAACTACGCGTGGCTCTGGGAGGATGGTTCTCCTTTGGTGCCCCACTTGTAAGTTTCTTATTCCTTTTGATACCCCTTTTAAGTTTTCTGTTTCTTATTGTTATCTACTTTTAAAATTATTGCCACATTCTACTATTGACCTCATTTGCCACACTGAACCTTGGGGAATTTGCCAAAGTCTCTTTCTTCACCTTTCTCACAAAGGGCTTTGCCCATTTACCCTTTCAGATCTCTCTTGAGCTTTTCTTCCCATATTTATTGATTTGAAGTTTTAAGACAAAGCTACGTTTCTGAAACAAGGTGGCAGTAAATTTAATTTTTTTTTTTAATCTTCTTCACCTGCAGGTTTAGACTCCAAGGTGCCGTTTCCCAGATGTATGCTTCAGGCACCTGTGCATATATACAACGGGGAGCTGTTTTTGCTGAAAACTGCATTTTAGTTGCATACAGTATATGTCAGAAGAAGGCAGTTCTACTGAAAGCACTGTGAATTTGAAGGATCTGGATAAAAAGGTCTTTTATTCTGGAAGTTAAGCTATTCTTCATCTTCACTTACGTACAAACCATGAGAGCCCTGAGAACTGAGGTGATGAGCTGGCTACAGAAACTGACTGGGTTTTTTCAGAAACTAAGACTAGGAATCCAGCTGCCTACTGCCTTTAGATCCAGAGTTGTAGATTCACTTTATTTATCATCTATCTATCTATCTATCTATCTATCATCATCATTGTCTGACATTTTTCAGCTAGTGTGTCCCAAGCCTCCTTGCTAATTTTCAAACCATCTTCCATTTTCTATTTTAAAATTTGGCTCCTCTCCAACCTTGGGAACCATCTGCTCAATTTTCTCTGTCTTCCCCCACCCTTCTAATACTGCATAGAAGACAGAACATAGAGAACTTACCCAACTATAGACAGAAGGCAAGAAAAGGGGAAATGGACCTGGTAAACAGTGCCCATGAAGGAGAACTAGAGAAAGACCGCACCAAAATCAAGAAGCTCACATTCTCAACTTAAAAGCCATTGTCTTTTTAATTTTGACCTATTTCTAGACTCCACCATTTATACATGTTCATATTCCCCCCAACCTTTACCACCACACACACACATTTTGGGACAACTGTGGTGCCCCAGGAAATAATTAGTAATTGCATGGTCTTTTCCATGTACTAATTCACAACCCATTATCAGTTTCTGAATCAGTTATTATTTCTTCATCTTTTCTTCCTCCAAAGGACAGTCTAATAGCTTTAACCCCTCAAAATAGCATTTGTTAGAATCTCAGGATATATGACCCAGAGGCAAAAATAATAGAATTTTACCCCCCTAAATTACATTCTTCTCTACAACTCTCTTATGAGATACTATGAGAAACATAAAGACTAAAAAATCAAGACACTCAATTGTAGAACAAACTTAGCCAGATATGTAAATATTGCTGAATAGAAACAGATGAAATTAGAAATATCTCTCCTATTTTCAGAGCTTTCCACCCCCTACACAGGGTATTTTCTTTAAAAGAACCTTTCCATTTGCTATATATAATCTATCATCATATATGTAAATATGTTATAATATATATCCAGCATCATTATACACAATATGTATAATGACATCTGTATGTTTTTTAAATAAAGAAACTACACAAGTATTTTGAGGGTTTTTAAATTGGGTTATCTATGTACTAATTTTTTAGTTTTGAGATCTGTGTATATTTGGGACAAAAGCCCTTTATCTGATATGTGACTTGAGAATTTTGGTTGTCTGTCTCTGCCTTCTTTTCCTTCTCAAAACTGTGCACTCACAAAAGGAGAAGTTTTCAGTCTTGATGAAGTGCACTTCCACGTTTCTGTTGTTTAAGAACTCATTGCTTAACTCAAGGCCACAACATTTTTCTCCTATTTTGTTTTTCTGAATTCATGGTTTTAGGATTTACACTGAAGTCTATGACTTATTTTAGAGTAATTTGTGAGTTATGTATTGAAGTTCACTTCTTTGCTTGTGGATATCCAATTGTTTTAGTAACATTTGTTGAGAGGCAATTCTTCTCTGCACTGCTTTTGCATGTTTGTCAGCACTACTGTTCATGCATATGTGAATTTATTTAAAAACTCTTTACTCTTTTATGGATGTATTTATTTTTAGACCACTTCCACCACACTATTTTGAATACTGAACTGTTATAGTAAATCTTGAAATCACATAGTGACAATCCTTCTATTTTGTTCTTTTCAAAGAAGTTGTTTTGGCTGATTTATTTATTTTTTCTTTTTTTTTAAATTTTTTATTGTTGGTTGTTCAAAACATTACATAGTTCTTGATATATCATATTTCACACTTTGATTCAAGTGGGTTATGAACTCCCATTTTTACCCCGTATACAAATTGCAGAATCACATCAGTTACACATCCATTGATTTACATATTGCCATACTAGTGTCTGTTGTATTCTGCTGCCTTTCCTATTCTCTACTGTCCCCCCTCCCCTCCCCTCCCCTCTTCTAATTTTGGCTGATTTATGTCATTGTATTTCCATATTCATTTTTTAATTGACTCATCTATTTTTATAAAAATCTTTTGGAATTTTGATTTTGATTGCATTGAATCTACAGATAAACTTCAGGAGAACTACATCTTGAAAATAATGATTCATCTGATTTCTAAGCAAAGTACATTATTTAGGCATTCTTTAATCTAAGTAAAATTTTAAAGTTTTCTCTGTAAAGATATTTTACCTATTTTGTTAGATTATCATTATGTATTTTATAATTTTGAAGTTAAAGTAGATGACATTATCATTTGTAATTTTTCTATACAAATATGAGTTGCTAGTATATAGAAACACAAGGGATTTTTTTTTTGGTACTAACTCTATCCCAAAATACTGAAAAATTCAGTTCATTCTCCAAATAATATTACACATATAGAGCACAATTTTTCATATTTTTGTGTATAAAGTGTGTTCATGCCAATTCATGTCTTTATACATGTACTTTTTTTTGTTCTGTTGTATTTTCTATATAGGGAATCATATCATTTGTAAATAATACACTTCTGGTTTTGTTTGTGTTTAGCTTAAAGATAAAACCAGCCCTTGTCACTCCATCCTGGCTTTAAGTAAAATCCAAGATAATTCTTTTGTTATTAGGTACTTTTAGCTTCCCATTGGGAGCTACTTTATCACTGAACAAGAATTTGTGGAGACAAAGCATCTCTCTAAAAAGAGTCTAGTCTAAAACTGGCAGGTGAATTTCTTGACTGTTTTGTGTCTGGTAGTTTCTATTTCAAAGTTGACACAGCTATCTTCTTGAGCCACGCTAACAGTGCCTGTGAATCCTTTGCATTCATGCTTATTACTCCTTGGTTCTCCAATCTAGGCAGGCACCAGCGCATTGATTCCTAAGCATTAGCTCTTCAGGCGCAAGTTCCCTGATCCCATCTATTCTGGGGACATCTCTTTCTGTATACTGCTTTGTATAGTGGCCAGTTATTTAAATGTTCCCATTCTTGACACAATTTAAATCAAGTCTCCAGCTATCACTCTTTTTTTATTTAATTGATTTTATTTTTTTAAATACACAACAGTGGGATGCATTACAATTCTTATTACACATATAGAGCACAATTTTTCATATTTTTGTGTATAAAGTGTGTTCAGGCCAATTCATGTCTTTATACATGTACTTATTTTTGCATTACAATTCTCATTACACATATATACCACAATTTTTCATATCTATGTATATAAAGTATGTTGACACCCAATTCGTGTCTTCATACATGTACTTAGGATAATGATGTCCATCACATTCCACCATCATTAGTAACCCCCTGCCCCCTTCCTTACCATCCCATCCCTCTTTGCTATCTAGAATTCATCTATTCCTCCCATTCTCCCCCTCCCTAACTGTCACTATGAGTCAGCCTCCTTATATCAGAGAAAACATTCAACATTCGTTTTTTTTGGGATTGGCTAACTTCACTTAGCATTATCTTCACCAACGCCATCTATTTACCTGCAAATGCCATGATTTTCCAGCTATCACACTTGCCCTGCAGACTGTTTATGAATGCCCTGTGAGCTGACTGACTTTTACATTCCTAAAGAGTTTTTAAAACTATAACCTCAATGATTGTTAAGCAACTTGAAAATTTCGAAATATCTGTTCTCTCATTCTTTTCGTAAAACTTTCCTGATTGCTGATGTAAATAAATTATGGATTATGCATGCATTTCCTTAATTAGAAATGAACAAGGGTTCTGAATTTGACCTCTCTGAATTCAAATTCTGGTCAGTTACTAAATTTCTTTCTTTCTTTCTTTTTAAAAATATCTTTATTTATTTATTTTTTTGTGGTGCTGAGGATTGAACCCAGTGCCTCACCAGTGCAAGGCAAACGCTCTACCACTGAGCCACAGCCACAGCCCCCTAAATTTCTTTCTTATCTGAGCAAGTTTCCCTCTTGATGCTTTGATTTCCTAAAATGAAAATGAGATGAATGCTTGTAGCTATCTCTTACATATCTAAGGATTTAAAGGGATAATGTTTATAGAGCATATCATATAGAGCCTAGAATTTCATAACAGTTGAAGAAATCTTAGCTATTTATACTATTTATTATTATTTTTAAAAAACCCTAAACATGTTTTGGTTTTTGTTAATGTATTCTTAACCTACAGTTAAGCCTGAGTTAATAAGTGTTTAGATTTGGTCAAAGATAACCTAAAGACTTATTAACTCAGACTTGATGTATATGTAAAGATTGCTTAGAATTCTTTTTGTTGTTTCTTAAAAAGTGTGCTGTGGAATGTAGTCTGTATTGGTACTTGTTTCTCTAACCATAAAAAGTAGTGGTCCTGGAGAACATAATGCTAAGTGAAATATGCCAGACTTAGGGCAGTCTCACATTTTCTCTCATGCGGAATCTGGGTAGGGTGGGAAGAGACAATGAGAGAAGAAGGGAGTCAGAGGAAGGGAGTAGATGTGATCAAAGTATGATATATGAATCTATGACTATGCTACAAACCCCATTATTCTGTACAATTAATAGGCAGTAGTAGAAAAAGAAACGTTAAGGAGTAGTTTTAATCATTTCTTTATTTTTTTTCACTGTAGAGATTTTTCTGAGGTTTGTTTGGGCTCCATAGAACATTCATGTTAGCACATGAATAGATGTACAAATGAATATAATTTTAAAGATTGGATTAATTCAATGTATTTTTTATAGCAACTTTAGCCTGTTCTGCTTTGGCAGCATGAGCCGAATATGTACATTTTCCTAAGTCTGCTAAATATTTTAAAACATAGCAAGAAAAATGAACAAATTTGAAATATTCAGTCTTTCTACCTTAGTAATGTACCTCCTTTATGCCTGCATTTATTTCCTAAATCCTCTGAAACCCTACCCCTCCACAGTAGGCAAAACATTATCCCGTGGAAGAGACTATGGGGAGAATTGACAGACCACTGGTTTCCTGGGAGAAAATTTTAAAGAATGAGAGAACAGTGAGGAATTCTAAGCATGGCACAGTTGGGAAACTCGGAATTCTAAGTAGAAGTATTATTCATCACTTGCTCTTGGACTTCAAGGCAACCTGAGGATTTTCACAATTATTAAATTTTCCCTTGGTTATAACATATCTAAACTTAATTATTCATGTATATTCTAGCCAACTGCCACATATCTCAGCTCTTCCTGAGTTGCCTAATCCATCAGGAGCATACCTGACTGATAATTTATAATTTGACTTTTAGAGAATAAACAAATCAATAATAATATAAATAATTTAAGTTGAGTAAAACCATGAAACTGACATCAAGAATCCACTTCAATATATCCATAAATGTAAAATCATATCTTTACTAAGCTCTTTTCTAAGATAGCTTATGTAGCACAGCAAATCCCAAACACTGAAAAAAGATCATGATTTGTAAATGTCATGCCTGTTTTATTAAGCATGTATGTTATATTTTTGAAATGACGTAGACTGTCTAATATGTAATTTTTAAAAACCTGACTATATTTTTTTGGTAAATTATATACAAATATTAAAGTCCCAGATGTTTTTGCTTTCTAAAAATTGTTCTAATTTATTTTGACAAAAGAATATGAAGTTTCTTCTTTTTTAAGTTCATTTATTCATTCATTTGACAATTCTCTAGCGAGGATTAGTTCACGGGAAGGCTCTTTCTTTCTTTACTGCTAACAGTGCAGACAGTAATGCACATACATAGACTCTATTCTCATGGTGTTTACAGTCTAGTATGGAGGAAGAAAATAAAGAAGTAAATTAAAAGAGCTATATATATAGCTGGCTGTGGTGGTGCACACCTGTAATTCCAGCTACTTGGGAAGGTTAGGCAGGAGAATTGCAAGTTTTGGGTCAGCCTCAGCACTTTAGGGAAAACTTATCTCAAAAATAAAATAAATGTATGAATAAAAAGAGCTGGGGCTGTTCCAGAGCTTAGCGGTAGAGTACTTGCCCAGCATGTACAACGTTCTGGGTTGCATTCCCAGCTGAAAAACAAAACAAAATAAAAAGCTGAATATATTTATTTAATACAGTGTAAGAACTACTGTAGTCACAAGGTTAATACTAAATAGGGAAAGTTCCTTTACCTTTTATAACTTGTAATTTGGTAACAGAAAT